GTAGAGAGACCATATCTCAAAAACATCCACAAGATCAGTAGAGGAAAATGAAAGGGAAAGGAGGAGGAGGAGAGGAGATAGGAGACAGGGAGAGAATGAAGAGGAGAGGGGAAAGGGAGGGAGAGGAGGAGGTGGGGAGAAAGGGAGAGAAGAGGAGGGAAGAGGAAGAGTGATGTTTTCTGTCAGTTCAGCAGCTGCACATGAATCTACTGATATTTTCATTATCATCTGCCACCCCATGGCCCCTCAGTCAGTGACTCCATCGGCCACCCAGGCTGCATCCTGGCAGGTCCCAAGGTTGCTCTACCATGGCCACAATATATAGTTTATTTATTTATTATGTATACAATGGTCTGTCTACATGCATGCCTGAAGAGGGTACCACCCTCATTACAGATGGTTGTGAGCCACCATGTGGGTGCTGGGAGTTGAACTCAGGACCTTTGGAAGAGCAGGCAATGCTCTAAACCGTTGAACCACCTCTCCAGCCCCACAATATATAGTTTTAAATTAAGTCTCTATCATTCTATTTATCAATAAGACTCGGCGGGACTCAAAATAAGGTTTTGCTGGGGCAAAAACCTGCTAGATCAGAGAGGTTGGGTGGCAAACAGCTGACCTAGCTTTTTGGCCAGAGACGCTGCAAAGAGACATGTCTCTTTCCTTGTCTCAGAACCAAAAAGGAAAGCACCAAACCTGCCCTTTCCTTTCTGTTCTTCTTCTCTATCTGAATTGTTGACTTTTCTATGGCCAATTCCAGTCAGCTAGTTGCTGGCTCTGCCCTGATTCAAGATTTAACTTTATTGACAAGTCTCAGGAGTGTCAGAGTGTGATCAAAATACCCTACAACAGAAGAGAGGAGGTGGAGAGAGAAGAGAGAGGGGGGAAGAGAACGAACACACTTTTCCCATGCCGCCAGCTGAAGGCCAGAGCAAGGCATTGCTGCTTAGTGTGTACTGGTCCTTAACACTGCTTTACAAGGATGCTGAAGGCTGTCCTCATTCACGATGACCTGGTGCATGAAATTCCCAAAGTGGCCAAAGCTGTAGACCACTTTGGATTTTTTGGATCGGATATGCCAAATCCATCTTTGTGCTGTTGCATCTAATTGCGATGAGCCTGTGTATGCCAAGTTGGTGGAAGCCTTGTCATGGAATATTTGTTTAACTAGGCAAAGATGTGTTACATTGTTCACATTTGTTAACTGTGTAAAGATATGTTGCATTTGCATTAATTAGATAAAATTAACCTGGGTTCAGAGAGGTGGGGTTGGCAGCTAGCTGACAGGAAGTAGCAGGCAGGAGAGTAGCATGGATTTCTCAGCTGGGGCCCTGTGGAAGGAAAAAGGCTTCGGGAAGCCAGCTAAGAAAGAAAGTCAGTTGCTACTCTAACTCTTTGAGCTCACAGGTTTTTCACCTAGCCTTTGAATCTTCAGTTTTATTAGAACATTGAAACTTAGTTAATTCTACCTTTAGGCAGCAACAGAGCCGTTGTCTGAGGGAACAGAATCCCCCCAAGCTATGGCCTTGGGAGCCCAGCGCTACCACTGTGACAAGGTTAAGACAGCAAAGCCCTTTCCACTGAGTGCCAGATAAATCTGATTAAGGTTGATGACAAGAAACTGGGGCAAGAAACCCAGTAAAGTGACTGGCAGCTATTGTGTAGGAGTTAAAGATGACGGCAAACGATCTCTGGCTGAGGATGTCTTCAAAGAGTACTTCGAATGTGAGAAATGAACAAATAAAAAAATGGTTCAGTTAAAAAAAACCTTTAACGTCACATCACAGCTTCTCTCACATGCAGAATCTAGATTTAGCAACACACACAGAGAGTACTGGGTACCTAACACGAGGAAAGTACAGCGACATGTATTATGAAAAGGCCATAATGGACAAGGGAGGGCAAAAACTTAACTCAAAAAGTCCTTAAGAATTTGACAAAATGAAAAAAAAAACATGGAGACGTTTTAAGGCTGACTCTTCCTGAAAGTGGTATGAAAAGAGTTGGGAAAAAAAGATTGGGAACAGAATTAATGGCAGCAGTTTCATTCATCTGACTATCAGTTCATCTCAAACTCATCTGCAAACTGATAGAGTACTGCAACAAGGTCAAGGAGGATGAACGAAAATTCAAATGGAGTGGATGGAATTGCACAAGGCCCTGAGTTTGATCTCCAACACTGGGAACGTGGAAATGAGTAGACAGATTAAGCAATAAAGCAAATGACAAGTCTACTAAATTTCGTGGATAAACAGAAAACAGTCAGCCTTTGGGAAAGGAGGGGGCCAGTAGGGATCACAGAAGAGAAAGCTTCCTTTCCCCTCCCCCACCTTACCCAACACACCTGTTGGCCTGCCTCCCGCTCCAGGCCATCTGCCTCCAGAGGTTAAGAAAGCAGAGGCCACATTAGCCCTGAATGACAAGGCCTGCACAGAGGACCTAAGGACACACATCTGCCATCTGCATATCCTATTTACACACTGGCTTGCAAAACTTGTTTCTTTCTTCTGGAGAAAAAGAGTGGAATTTTCAATTCCTAGGACACTGGTGTGACCTAGGCCAAATATTGGACCTTTTACTGGGAGTGCTCTTGATATTTGGGCCTGGAGTCTCAAAAGGGCAGGTTGGAGAAAGGAGGCTTGGTTTGGCAAGACCTGTTAGTACCTTGAATTTCTTGTCCTATGGTGAAGATCTGAGTAAAATCCTCTAAAGTAATGCTCTGGACTCAGAAGCCCCTGTTGCTCAAATACAAGGGCAACACTGAGACAGTTCTAAAGGAAAGCAGGAAATGCCCCGTTAGAGGTGACAGCGTGCAGAACTGCAAAACTATTCTGTGACAAGAGAATGGATATTCTGGGGCTACAAGACCTGGGTCATCGTGGGATTCTCAATAGAGCAAAAACAAGCAAGTATTAGGTTCTACTCAATGCCATCCAATGCACTCGGTATTTTACTTAAACTGATGGGTGAGCATTGTTATGCCCAGATCTGCAAAGTCCCCCAAAAACCAAGGAGACTGAGTCCCGCATGTAAAAGCAAAGAGCCTTTATTTTATGCAAGTTTGCAAACTCGATCTCTCTGCATGTCCAACGTATTGGAATAAATGGAGAGCCCCGAGCTCAGTTAGAGTTGCGTTTTTTATAGTAGTAAAGGTGGGGGTAAGGGGTTTCTGAGGTTCAGGACCCCTAATTGGCTGACATTTGTCTAGGGGTGTCCTGGTGAGTGTGTGCTGGCAGGTGGTCCCATCTACAGCTGTTGGAACTTAAGGCATTTCTTTTGGATGGTCTGTTCTTGGGTGGTGCTCAGGTAACCTTAGTTTATTAGCAACCAGGTATTGCTTCAGGGTAAACTACTGAGATTCAGGCCTCTGTTAAATTTATCCACGGCTGAGTCCTACTCTGGCAGGTGATAATGGTTGGGAGTAAAGAACTTCCTTTGGGTGGTCTGTTTCTATTTAGCTTATCATTGCTGGCTCCCACAAGCTCCTTTATGGCTCAAACAGTTAAAAAAGAAAACCAAGTCTAACTCCTTGCTGGGGTATATCCCTGAAAACAACAGGCTCAAGGGGGTCAATGAAGTGGGTTGCTAGGTGTAAGAACTTACTAGAAGAATTATTAACGCCGTGCTGGGAGGGACCACAGTACAGTGGACACTCAGAATTTCAGGCCCCAACGACGTTGAGAGCAGGTTCCGGTGGGGGTGAGGGTGGGTCCGAGAACGAGGCTCAAATGGCAGAATTCTGACAGAATCCTGGTCCTTTCTTAGAGGGTCTCCTGGGAAACCGCTGATTCCACAGCAGGTGGCGGAGGAGGGGAGTGAGCCCTTTGACACGGCTGGTCTGGCAGCCTCACTTGGGGAAGTGAGAAGTTTAGTCACTTGGCCTATTGAGAAGTCGGACTCAAAGGCGGACGCTCGGTGGGATGGCCCCCCAGTAGTTGTAACGCTAGGGCGACAGGGGAGGACTTCAGTGGGCATCGGGCTCCGACCATCCGCACTCTGCTCTGAACTTTACCAAGCCCCATTTCACACGAGAAGAAAATGAGGCTCGCAACGGTAAACCAACTTACTCCTGGGCGGAAGTAGACCTGGGCTTCTCCGTTTCGACCATTCAGAAAAGTTGCTGATAATTCAGCGTTTTTTCAGGCAGTTGGAATCGCCTGGCAGTTGGGTGTGTTTCCGAGTGCTTCACACACAGGGAGGGGCTCAGGCGGTCTCCCCGCCCGGCTTCCCGGGACTTCTACAAAGCCATCTTACTTTTAAAGGAGACGAGGCCTAGGCACTAAAAGGAAACCCAACAAAAGACTACGGATCCACAGACGCCTGGAGTGTCCGGACCCCACGGCCAGAGCCACACGGCGCACAGTGCACTGGGCGGCCACCACCTACCCTAAAGCTGGGTACCGGGGCTCCAGCTCCGGGGTCTCCAGGACAACGCCGAGGAAACCCGCCCGCTCGCCTAAAAGAGAGCGGCGCGCGAAGCCAGGCCCCGCCCCCGGCCCACCTCTTCCGTTCGGCCCGTGGAGTCTGCGCGGCCCGGGGATCCGTTCCGACACGGCCACGTTGCCCTGTGAGCCAGCCGGCGGCGCCGGGTCCC